TAACTGTTTTGGTGCTTATCACCCTGCAACAACATGGAAAAAGGGAATCTCACTAGACCTCTAGGTCTAACCCTCAATTTTGTGTTTTCAAATATGTGTTGCAAGATTTGCAGAACATAATGATAATAAAGGAAAAGGGAAAATGTGAATTATTTCCCTATGTGCTTAGCTTTATGAAGATCATCTTTGGATATGTTTTGGAGAATAGATGTTATGATTGCAAGAGCATGTATTTTGGAATTTTCAAGTTGTGTATTTTGTATTGTGGACTCTTGTATTATGGACCTTTGTGAGCTTGAACATGTATTCTAAGAATGAAATATGTGTTATATGCAATGTGAATTTTGGGGATGTTACACCTTGGCATGAACATGGCACCCATAAAATAATCCTGGTCATGGCCCACCTTTAAGGTAGCAAAGGATTTGTTCTAAGAAGGGTCCAATGGTTAATTTTTGGAGAAGACATAAATCGAATGACTAGAAATGCAATGTCTAGTCATGTTACCATAAGGTAACTAAGCTTTCCAACAAGCCGGTTGTATCTTTTAGGGCCATTAAATGGTTCTCAACCATCTTTCCTTTCTTAGGCATGCAGTAGGAGTTATTGGGTGCTACATGGTTCAACCCCAATTTTTTATTTTCTTTTAAAAATATCATGAACATATTTCCAAATGTGAGGAGGGCGTGTGAGTCTTTGGCCTCCTAGGAGGTCAAGGGTTCAAACCTCACCAAATGTGAGGAGGGGGTGTGAGTTTATTTGTTTTATTTTCCGTAAATAAATATTATATACTTCAAAAAAATATCATGAACATATTTCCATTGAGATAAGATCCTCCTTTTGCTCCTCATGATCTCTACTACAAAGAAATATATTAGTTGTCCCAAATCCTGTCTGAAAATGAGGAGGATTAAGTTCTCATATGCCTCGACTGCCACTTTCAACAATCACAATATGAACATATACTACAAGTAGGATCACACCACTTTCAAATCGCCAAACTATATGATTAAACTTACACTTCTTGCATTCAAATTTCACAATAACTAAGTTGAATTTTCCTAACCATCCCTGAGATAAGATCTTCCTTTGCTCCTCATGATCTCTACTACAAAGAAATATATCAGTTGTCCCAAATCCTGTCTGAAAATGAGGAGGATTAAGTTCTCATATGCCTCGACTGCCACTTTCAACAATCACAATATCAACATATACTACAAGTAGGATCACACCACTTTCAAAGCGCCAAACTTTATGATCAAACTTACACTTCCTGCATTCAAATTTCACAATAACTAAGTTGAATTTTCCTAACCATCCCCGAGGACCATGCAATACAAGGATTTCCCGAATGTGTCATACTTTCCTGAATGTGTCATTCCCATATCCGCTTGAGCAACAAACCATGTTGGTTGCTTCATATGTAACTCTTTCTAAAGAAGCATGTGAAGAAAAACATTTTTGATATCCAGTTAACCTAAGGGCCTATCAAAGTTGACTGCCAATGATACCATGAGTATAACATAAGTGAGTTTAGCAACTAGAGAGAAAGTGTCAGTATAGTAAACCCCTTATTGGTGAGTGTATCCCTTAGCAACAAGATGAACTTTAAGTCAAGCCACAGATCCGTCAGTCTAAAACTTAACTATGGACACCCATTTACACCTTATTGCCTTTTTGTCAGCAGGAAAATCTACCAATGTCTGCGTACAATAAGGGGATTTATTTCCTCAATCATAGCAGCACGCCATTAAGAATGAGCCAATTCTTACAAGTTTAGGAATGGATAGAGAATCTATTTTGGCAATAGACAGCGATATGTAGGTTTACCTTTCCAAAGGGTAATAGGTATATGAGGCGATTGTGTAGGAGTATGAACATTAGGTGGATCTACCGACATATAGGGAGGTAAAGGATTAGTATGTGTCGTAAAACGAGGTTGCCTCTGACAAACTTGACCAACATCTAACCGATTAGGCTCGGAAGTTCGTATGCTCAGGAATAGGTGCATGAAAAGACTCTGAAAGTGCTTAGTAGGTGCAAACAAGATATCATATAGATTAACAAATTATCATCAAAATAAGTAGTGAAAATTGAACATCATCATTAAGAACTACCGAGGGCATCCGATTTATTAGAAAGAAGCGTTTGAGAGAGCATCAACCCAAAAGGTTTTGGAACAACCATTTGAAATAAATGTGTTCGAGCAACCTTAGGAAGGTGACTATTTTTGCGTTTAACAACTCCATTTTGAGCAGGGGTGTCAACACAAGATGATTCATCATGTTGAAACATGTAAAATTGAAAAGACTCAGAAAGATATTCTTTGGCATAATCATTATGAAGGTTTGAACCTGTGTTTATTTCAGCACAAAAGAAAAGAAAAGAAAATGTGTGAATAATTCATAAGAGTTTTTCATCAAATAAATCCATGTAACACAAGAGTAGTCATCAACAGAGGTAGCAAAATACTTGAACATGTTTATTGACTAACTCAGAAGGAGACATAACCTGTTTATTGACTCTTGAGACCTAAATGAAAAACGAAGATATTTGACAAATTGACAGTCACACTGACAAATGAGAAAAGTGGGGACATAGTTTCTTCAAATTCCGTAGAGATAAGATAGCCTAACCGATAAATGCACCTCATGCGAAGATATAGATAATTTGGAGATTACAAAAGAGCTCGATGTTTGAGGTTTAAATATGTATATGCCATAAGATTTTTGTCCTTTACCAAGGACCTGCTTATTGAAAGACCTTGAAAAACACAATGATCAGGAAAGAATGAGAAGTTGCAGTTGAAATATGGGCAAACTTACTGACTTACAGTAAGCTGAATGAAATTAAACAAACGCAACACAATGACAAAGAAATAGAAAAGGTGAGGTTAATGGTACCATATCCAAGAATGTTCGAGCTAGACCAATCAACAGCTGTGACATTGGATGAGGGTGCATGTGTATGGAATTTAGAGAAGAGATCATGATCATCTGAGATGTAGTCTCTGAAGCACCATAATCAATGAACTATTTGGAAGTAGATGATAAAATCCATTGAGTTGATTTCCTATCTCGGTGAAGGCAACAGTAGCGGGCTCCAAGGATTCTATAAGTTGAGCTTATTCATTAGCAGAGATATTGACATTGTTCTCAGAAGCGAAGGCAATATGCATAGATGGACTCTTTTATTTTTGGCCAAGTTTCCTACATGTGCGTTGGTATGCCCTTGTCCATAGTGTCAAATGGAGATAGCAAATTCATATCTTGATTTTGAAAGAGTTTTCACAGCAAAATGGGTTCTGGCTAACTCTGAGTACAACATACCATCCTCAAGCTAATGGAAAATGCGAACAAACCATTAGAGCATTGAATAATATGTTTCGAACATGCGTACTTGATTTAGGCGGCAGTTGGGACGACCATTTGCCAGTGATAGCAGTTCCGTACAACTTTAGTTACCAAACCAGTTTGAAAGTCGCACCATAAACATCCATGTATGGCAAAAAATGTAGACACCCTGTTTGTTGGAGTGACTTTGCAAACAAATAAGTTACTGGACCAAAGTTGATTGAACAAGCCTCAGATAAGGTGAAACAGATTCGAAAGATTAAAGGTGTTGTTGAAGGTCGATAACGAGGTGTTGTTGAAGGTAGCTTCATGGAAAGGGTTAGTACGGTATGGGAAACGAGGCAAATTGAGTCCTCATTATATAGAACCCTTTAAGATGACTTTAAGAGTTGAGGGAGTGACAGCTATTACCACGAGAATAACAAAGAATACGTTACATGTTTCATCTACTGAACCTAAGAAAATGTTTGGCCGACAAAGAAATGAATATACCCTTAGAAGAAATCGATATCAGCAAGAAGTTGATTTATCTAAAAGAGCTAAAAATATCATTCCAAACATCTAGAAGACAATGAAATAAAGATGTTTATGGATCAAAGATAACAATAATACACAAGTGTCTATATATATAGAGAGAGAGAGAGAGCCAAGTTCAAATGAGAACCACAAATATTTTGAGAACAAGGAACCAATCTCAACCGCCTAACACATTAAACTGAAACTTATGAAGGTTCAATCGGAAGAAGTTCAATTTTTATTTTATCTTTCTTAAACAATATGTTCATGTAAGTCAAGTTCAACTAGTATGATTTATTAGATGTCGTTCATAGGTATGTGTATGTAAAACTAAATTCATGCAAATGCTACTGCAAGTTCTATTTGTATATGAAAATGCATTTATCAATGACTGTTACACATATATGGCTCAGATCAGGGCGTGGTGTGGGTGTTACATACGACCACTTTCGGAGAGGCCCAACATCGAGAGATCGTTTATGAGGATCTTTAGCTAGCTATTTTTTCTACTTTTGACTTAGATTAGAAATCAAACGGGTGGAAAGAATAGTTCATTGCTCCCCTTTTTAGTTATTTCTGAAGGCATGTTCCTTTTTCCTGGAAAGAAAATTAAGGCTTGAAGAAAAAAAATATTAAATTAAATGGTAATCTAGCTCTGATACCTTGTGATCTACAAGAGTTCTATATTGATTTTAGTGTGTTCTACATATATATTTACACAAGGGGCAAGAGAACAATAACTCTCTAGTTTCCTAGTCTGTTGTGATATTGTTTCCATAACAGATCCCTTAGACTAGTAGCTAAGTCAAAGGTACCATATACCACGGCTAACGAAAAAGTAATATCTACTAACGACACTTTAAAATGAAAACTTGACTCTAGATATTGGACATGTGTAGTATAAAACTCTTGTATATAGTATTGTGGTTTGTCTTAACACTATGTGAGATGCAAGTTGAATGCACAAAGCAAACAAGACAACCTTTTTTGTCTCGCCAACTTTGACATGAAGAATGAGGCATCACTTATTGTCATGGACAAAACAGTAAATTTCAGAGTCTATCACAATAACCAAATACAGAATGGCAAGAGTAAATAAAGTGAGTTATACAACAAAGAAGGGAATTATACTTTTCATATATGGGTTGGACGAAATATACGACATCCATACCAGGCATAGGCTCCCTTCTCTTGAAAAGTTGTTCCACCACTGCAAAACATGATGGACATTTGAGATCGAATACCAACAACAATTTACTAGAAATGCCTAATAAAAGAGCAGTGTTGACTGAACTAAATCTATGCTATTAATAAACGAATTCCAAATGTAAGGTGTGCATGAGGTAAACAGATGCTATTTTTGAATAAACAAACATGTGCCATGGCATAGAAATTGTTTCTTTTGATATTTAGTTCCAATATCATGGCACTCACATGAACTGACAACTTCTGTGATTGGAGAAGACTTTTTAATAACACATCTTAAAGTTCAGGGGTAACTACAATCCAATCAACAAAATCATCAAAGATTGGAAAATGTAGATCACCAAATGTTTTAATATAAGTAATGGAATTCTCATTACCTTGTTTTCACTTTTCCTAATCCACTTCCTAAAGTTGAGCGGGATTACAATCAACTAGTAACATTATCAAGATCGACAACCAATTCCAGAAAGATGGAAATGTACATCTTCAACATTTTTTGGCTAATGTGACACAAGTAGTTGATGCATGCTAATGTTAAAACCGCAATCACACATTCGTATTGAATTTCAGATTCTTACGTGAAACTCCTTGATCTGTTATGTCTGACATTTTGCATGAAGCAGCCATAACTTTTACGGTAACTTTATCCATGATAAATATCTGCAAAAGATCATATAGAGATCCATAAAAAATTGATAACACATCCTACAGATTAAAAAAATAGCATAAAGTAAACAAGAACCAATATCATTATTTACAATTGATTTTGAAATAATTAACAATTACTATATGCATGTATTACCAATACAATGAGAAGCAAGTTAGAATATAAGATATGAGATGCTCCACAACATTAGCAGGAAATGTTATTCTTTCATACTTGCTGGCATTCCAAACTATTTGCATCCTATTGAAGCGAAAAAATGAAAAAAAGTGGTAAAGGAAAAAAGTTGTACATTTACCTTGAAGTGGAGTTCTTCCATCATGACTCAAGAAAGCAGCTAATATAATAGGAAATAGTTCTAAAATTTCTTATTCTAAATACCAAATTTATGCCAAGGTTCTATGAAAAGTCAACTAACAAGATAAAGTAAATGATCATATATGGCCACTACTATTCTCTTTCTGGTAATATTTTAACAATTTAGCCCAATGACCTGATTCCTTCTCTCTTCTATCAGAATTGTCGATTCGCCAATTCTATATTATGACTACAAATCTCCAATTCCTTCTCCTTAACTCTTTAATTAGAAGATTGAATTCTCCTACTCGGCTAATTTCATGATTGAAGAACCAAGAAAGACCCTGTTTGATAATCTTCCTCCTTCTTTTTCTCTTTTTCTCTATTTCTTGTTTGACGAGCATCTTCACTTGCCATTTCATTGACTTAGTTCATAGTGATATTGATCACCATTGTTCAAAGAACTATAGCCTTTTGCAAACACGCAGAAAAGTTGGGAGTAGAGTGAGAATTTGGCCCTAGAATTGAGCCAGGGTTTATTGAGAACTTGAGGTAAACAATAGTTTTATAGTTCATAAACTCCTATATGCTAATCTTTCAAATTACCGTCTTACCGGAGAAAGTTGATTATGAAGAAACGATTGAATATTTTGTTTTGAACAATGTTAGAAAAATGATTCTATTTAAGTGAATTTTGTATGTTATTGTCATTTCAAGATATTTTTGTTGTTTTAATTTGTATGACTTCTAATACAATATATGGCGTGAAGTTTTATATTCTGTTTTATGCATTACTTATCCAATTGATCTATAGTTTTGGTACAAGTGTAAATGGGCCTCCAGAAAGATTGGAATGTCCCTGTTTGCATCATTGATCCAAGTTTACTACTTTGGGGTTAAAACATAATCTCAATGCATTAGCTATATGCAAAATAGTGTATATATACAATATTCACATGGATATACTTGGCTTGTTTGGTTTGGTTTGGTTTGGGTAGTTCAAGACTCCCTATTGATTTCGCCATCACCGTAACACAGCTTGCATGTTCTTTGTCTTGTCTTGTGTACTAGTTTAAAATATTTTTATTGCTTGTGCCATTCCTAGAATTTTCTAAATGTGGGGGTGGGAGTGGGGCCGTTGGGGAAGGGATTGTTAAAGCTCCATCGATACAAGCTTTTCAAGCATTTACATGAAAAATCTTAAATTCTATTGAAGGATCTCTTCAAGTAGTTCCGCTCTCATATAGGTGCATGTCTAACACTTATGTCTACTGGTCAGTTATCAATCATACTCAACTAACAGTTTGTACTATTCATTGAAACTATCCCACGAAAAATTATGAGATATGTACCTTCCAACTTGATTTTGAAGATGACGATGCTTTGAGCATTTCATACAGTAACCCTGAAAAATAATAATCTCTCTTTACATCATAAATGATAAGTGACATGAGTTACTGATTATCACAAAGTACCAGATTCAGCAAAACACATTAGATATACAACAAAGAAAACCAAAGCACACAAATAGAATGAAGGAGAAAAGAAAGATAAGAAAATCTAAGTTAGGATGGGCCATAACTTAATAAGGGGAGGTGTACAATAATGGCTATACACAAATTATTGAACTACGTATCTAGCAAAAAGACAAAAACAGCCAAGAACATGAACTGCATACAGTATGTTATTATCTAACAGCCTCTTTTGGTTGGATGCACATTGCACAGGCAAGATTTTGTCCATTAGACACTTCCAGTACTCTGCAATGGGAGGAACCATGTGCACTATTCGACATATGCTTGAAATTCAACTACGTTCATGCAAATGAATTGCACCTATGGTTAACTACTGGGGATGACAACTGGTTGTTTTCGTATTAATGATACTTCTTTCAGCATATTGCTTTCAATGATAAAAACTGTTTTTTAGTGGTTCAGTTAGTAATTTGAGCCCAAACATCCATCAATCTATGAAATTGCTACCCTGTCCTCAAGTAATTACCTAAAATAATGCCTTAATTGGAAGCTTGTGCATTGTTATCTTGCATGCAATGCACCTCTTGATAACCTATGTTTTCTTTCCTTGGAAAGGCCATTGCTAAGAAATGGAGATATTTTCTGCTGTATATAACTTTCTATTAATACAAGCGCTTGTGTGTGATTATTTCTTAGATGGTAATTATTCGTTAACAGGACCCAGTGGTTTGTTAAGCAAAGGTCGGAGGCGGACCCACAAAACTTTTCAAGCGCTGGCACCATTAGACCATAAGGGTGACAGCTATAGAGAATTTTCATAATATAATTGTAGATTAGTTGGTTTGTTGCTATCCTTTGCTAGGGAAGGTCGTGGGTTCGACCTTTCTCCCTGTTGCCTTCTTTCATCTTTTCCACAAAATCAATAGAAACCGAAATTTAGATGGTGAAAACTGGATATTCGCTAAAAACGGGACTCGAACCCACAACCTCTTGAAGGGCAAGCGTTGAGTGAAGTCCATTGGCTTAGTAGCCTCTTCTGACAATGCTTTCACAATTGGTATACCTCTAAATCCTATTTATCATTCAGACCAAGCATATCCAGCTTGACGCCCATAATTTCATAAGGTGAAAAAGAAAAGGGCTTGTTACCCCATACTATGATATTACTATCTTCCTATCCTACCAAGCAGCCCCTGCATTTGGTTGGGGTTTGCCTCCACTGGTTTCTATACTGTTTCACTTTCCTGCAAGTTTTCTTCATACAATGAAGCTGCCTTTCATTCTTCACTGTCAATTTATCTTAAACTTATAGCCGTGTAATCTCTCTTGCACAAACACTTGCAAAGTAACACGAGGCTCCCACAATTAGACACCCACATAAATACAAAAACGGTTAAGCTCTCAAAGATGCTAGAGGCAGAGTGAGCTGCGACTATTAAGGTAAAACATAAAACTTCAAACCTAAATTTTGATACTTAATTTTTAATCATTTGAAAGAAAACAAGAAAGCAAACCACGTCAGACTTCATCAAAGTAACTTTATCACATTCCAAGGGATACAACCTAACAGCAGAACAAATCCATCATCTTATGCAAAAGAACATCATATGTTCAAATATTAGATAGAAACTTACGATCACGGCCGACTTGACGGAACATCTTATACTCTCCATTGGAAGCCGACATCAAATCACACCTTAAACAGATCTCTCTTTGATCGGGAGACTACAAGTTCGAATTTTTAAAACTTAGAAATGAATACATGAACCGAAATTGCAAATCTAGAGAGAAAGAGAGAGACGATAAGCGATAAAGAAGGCTACTGTGTTCGGTTATGTTCGAGGGGTATTGATTTTAAGCGCCATTTGTTTCCCACTACAATTTCGTTACTTGTCTTTTTTACCATTATACCCCTATAAGATCAACCTCGTTGTGTACATATTTATACATATACAAAGGGTGTTTAAAAACCCGATCAATCCAAGACGAAATAACTTAAATCGAAGAAACTTGATGTTTAATTAAATTGTAAAATTTTCAAACCATATGTATTGGATTGATATTGGGTTATTATTATTTGAACACAACCCAACCCGATATCCTTTTATTTCTTGGATTTAATACGATCGTTGAATTTCTATTAATATATATATACACCAGACAATTACACTATCATGCATGTTCTTCATATACACATATTTTCAATTTATTTACATATCTATATAATTCATTTGTATATATGTTCAGTAACTGTGAACATATATGTAAATTAAGAAAATTAACTGAATATGATATACGTAAAAAGTATAGATAAGTTGTATCACATGGTTGATGATGAAAAAAAAATTATGAGTAGAGAAATAATATATTCAAGGTTATAAAAATATTTTAATATACCAAAGTATCAACCCGACTAACCAGACCAACCCGTACGGGTTGGGTTGGGTTGCACTTTCGTTTGGGTTGAGTTAAGATTTTTCAAACCTTAAACATTGGGTTGGATTATTCAAATGTTTTCAACCCGATCAACTCAACTCATGAACACCCCTGCATACATCTTTATAAGATACACCTTGAAACTTTAAGAGATACTATTTTATATTACATTTTATATTCTTATAATTAGTTATTTAATTTATTTTAGAACTCTTATTTTTTTTATTTTCCGTTTTACACTCTTAACATAAATGATCATATGTAAACTAAAATGCATCAAAAAAATGCTTTTTATTTATTTATAAATTATATCATTATAATCGTCTTGTCGATACCTTTAAAATTAACTTAATATTAAATATTTTTGGATTTAATCATATTATTAAGTATCATTAATGTCTACGAATTAATTTTTTTTATATCTTTACGTTTTATTTTTACACTCTTAGCATATTAAAAACATATAATCATAAATTAATTAAAATACATTAAAAAATATGTTTCTTTTTCATTGTAAATTATATCATTTATAATTTTTTCGTCAATACCTTTTAAATAAGCTCATTATTAAATATTTTTTTAATTTAATAATAACATAAAATATCATAAATAGGTACAAATCTATACTATCTATATCTTTCCATACTCTTTTATAGAGGGTCACCTAGAACATCTCTAATGCAAGGTTTTTATTAGCAATAAAGTTATATGACGTTTTTTGACGTTTCAACGACTGTTTTAGAATGATCTTTAAATAAAATGTCATATTAGTTATTTTATAGAAACATTTTGACAAGTGTCCTGTAAACACATCTATTTATAGGACACATATGTTCATATGACACATTTTCAAGTTGTGTCGTATAAAATAACTAATATGACAATTTATTATAAAAGCGTCATAGAATTTGTTAAGAAGCCCAAAGTCATCCTCTAAACATATTGCAACTCTTTTATATAAGACATTTTTCTTGTTTCGTCCTATAAAGTATCATATTATGACGCTTAGACATTTTAGACATCCTATAAGATTTAATGTTGTTGTAGCGAAATGCTATAACTAAGCATTTTATTTCCACAAAAGTACAACATAAAATGACTAGCTATTTAAATTGATGGATTCGTCAACCAAATATCTATCAATATCATTCATATCATCTGACATATCAATTTGTTGTTGCTGCAAAAAAGAAAATCAATAATTTTCTCTTATTAATTAGATTATTCGTCATCATATCGTGAATCTCTTTTGGTAATTTATATGTTTAGCTAAAATGAAATCCAAACATAATATCAATAAAAATTATATAAAGTTTATACATTATTAATATATATATATATATATATATATATATATAAACACATAATAAACATATCTCTAATTAAAATTATATATTGTGGATTTTGGGGGGGTTTGTTTTGCGGGTTGAGTTAGGCCCAACCCAATTTCAACTCTCCTAATTGGCGGGTTAGCGGGCGGACAGTTTGGCGGTTAGGCGGGTGGGATTTAATTGGGTTGTTAGCGGGTTAGGCGGACTTTATGGGTTGACGGTTTTTTGTACACCTCTACTTATAAAAACTACCATTTTGGACTTTTAAGAGACCTCTTAATTTAATGAGTTAGAGATGAGTTGACAACAAAAAGTGCAAAAATGAGATTCTTATAAGAACCTTCATTAAAGATGCTCTTATGGTTATTTTTGAATTTTTAAAAGGTACACATTTTTATGATAGATGTACAAGTCTTAGGGGCCGTTTACAAAATGCTTACCCGGTAAGTGCTTATTGGGTAATTTTTCTTACTGATGAACATGACAAGAGTAAAAAAACTTACCTGGTAAGAACAATGATAAAGATGGAGAGTTCTTACTCGATAAGTGAGTGTGACAACTCTTACCCGGGTAAATGTTTACAGGGTAAATTGTTGCATACGATGCCATTTTGATGTACTACAATCTTACCCGGTAAAATAAATTATAATGTTAACTCCTAATGGTAAGCGCTTACCAGGTAAATATTTAGGTAAACGGCCCCTTAGAGTAGCTTATAATGACTTTCAATTGCAATTATCTTGAAATTTCAAGAGTACAAGTTTTTATGAATAGTGTACAACTTCTTTAAGCTATATGAAAACAAACTTTCCACACCCACGGACAAGACATATTTATATCTATCTATACTATATTATAAAGCATTTAATAAAAATTCTTAAAAACCATTTTTTATGTATGAATTATTGTTTATTGATGCATATTACTTACAATTCAAGATTACAAGTAATTTTGCGTAGGTATAACTTATTAAAACTCCATTTTTAAATTCGTGCAACTAACTCCAGATAAACATAATCAAATATATGATAAACATCAATTTTAAATATAGAAAATCAAAAATATAATTAAGATAATCATTGAGTTCTAACAGAATGTTTAATTATTATCTTTATAAAAATTATATTATTAAACCAAAAATAAATTATTTTATTATTAAATCTAAATTAAATTATAATAAAAAATTAAATTAAAGAAGTTACACTAAAACAAGAACTAATAAATAGTTAATTTGATATTAATATTGATTTTTTTTCAAGTTTTTATGCTATCTTCAAATTTATATTTCATTCAAAAATAAAAACGTTATCGTTTTCTCAAACACATAAAATCGTATTATATCGATAGAGACAAAAAATAAAAACTAAATATTAAAATCGAGATTTATCTCGTTGCATTACGCGGGTACCCTTATAGTATTATATTAATAAGCATTGATAACAGTTAAGTGTTGAATTTTAAGAGATATAGGTTTTGATGTTTAATGTAAACATTTAAAGCTGCACAATTTTCCTCGAAACCTCCCACGTCCCAACATAATATTAGAGAGGGCAAAATGCATCAAAATGCAACACAGTCTGTCTTAGGGGCCGTTTACCAAACACTTACCCGGTAAGTGCTTACCGCTAAAATTTAACACTATTATTTACTCACCGGGTAAGATTTTAGTCTATCAAAAAGACATTGTATGCAACAATTTACCCGGTAAGCGCTTACCGTGGTAAGAGTTGTCGCCCTCACTTGTCGGGTAAGACTCTTGATTTTTGTCTCACTCTTACTGGTAAGATTTTTTGTCCTTATCATATTAATGCAGTGAGGTAATGTGACTTGATAAGCACTTACCCAGGTAAACCTTGGGTGACATGACAATTGTCACTAAGCGTGCCCCTCTGACCCTTGACAACAATGATCTATGTCGAACCTAGAAGCTTGTTGATATGCATTTATACATCATGTATAAATCATAAAACTGTTATGATTGCAATTAGTTGGGATATGATGCAACTGCACGTCTTGCCATTCTTGACCAGAAGTTTTAGCTTTCGACAAATATCGGACTTCTTAGATGACATTGCATTCTGATTTTATGTAACGTAATTGTAATGCTTACATGAATGTTGTATACGATGAGGCCTTTATTATGTGTGTGAATTAACACACCAACGTGCCAAAAAGACCTAACAACTGAAAAAACATTGAAAACATTCACCTCATGCTCACTACGACCAACTTACAACAGAATGCAATTACTTGGTTGTTCGGCTAACGAGCTTACGAAAAATGCAAGCACAAGTACATTGTCCATTATAACCCTGTATTCCATTGTCCTCTTCAACTTTTACTTATCTCAGTACATTGTGTTTCTGATAAATGGGATCAGTAACTATTATAAGTTAGGGTTACATTAAGACAGGACAACAACGAGAAACGACAAAGAATAAATGTCGTTGGCATTGACTCAGTCGATTTTGCAGCCGAAACAAGGTTGTTGATAAGATGTCTTAATGAATGGCTGAAATTTTCTTACATGTGCATAGAACTCCCTTGCCAATTTTTGTAAGACCAATATATGAAGATACACCATGGTTGTTCTCCATGAACCATTTGTTTGTTTGTTTTTTAAATGTGAAGACACCTTTTGTGTTTGTCTGGCTTAACAAAAATAGAATCATGTTCTGGTTTGTGTTTGGATTTGTTTAATTTTTTTTTATTAACCTAGATATCAACCCGCTATGTGAGTCGACTAATCTCAGGACGACCACCCGCTTCACGGGTAGTCCAGAGTCATCGCATTTGAACCTCCGTGGTCACAAGGGGATTTTTATTCCTCCTTAAATTCAAACCTGAGACCTCGAGACATTTTTGACTTTTGAAGCTCAAGTTCAAACCAATCAGGCACCACACTTGTGGTTTAATTTTTTGTATCAGTCTTGTGGGGTTTGGTTTGGAAGGTAGTTTATTTATTCATTAAAATTTGATACTTTTTCCGATTATAACCCTTATTAATATTAACTATTATAAATAAATATTCATTTATTTATAACCAAAACCAAGATCTTCGTTTTTTATATTAATCTGGATATCCAACTTGTTATGCGAGCCGACTAATCCCAGGGCGACCACCTACTTTGCAGAGAGCACGAATTCACTGCATTCGAACCTTCGTGGATACAAGGGGATTTTAAATTCGTGTAACTAACTGCAGATAAAAACAATCAAATAGAGAATAAACATCTCATTTTAAAATACAAAAATATAAAATATAATTAGAATAATTGTCGAGTTCTAACAAAATAATTAATTATTATCTTTTTAAGAAAATTATATTATTAAATCAAATATAAATTTCTTCGTTATTGAACCTAAATTAAATTATAATTAAAATAAATAAATTAAAAAATTACATAAAATAAGAATTTTAAATAATCAATTTGATACTAATATCGATATATTTTTGTCAAATTCTTATGATATCTTCAAATTTATATTTTATTCAAAAATAAAAACATCATCGTTTTTTCAAAATCACATAACACTATACTATAACATCGACTGAGATAAATAATAAAATGAAATATTAAAATCAAGATGTATCTCGCTGCATTGCGCGAGTACCCTTCTAGCATATATAAAGAGAGAGGAATCTAACTTATAATTACGACCTGATGCCTAATCAGGTCATTGTCCTATTTCGGGTTTCAAAGTTGAGTTTATAAGACGTTTAAAATGTCTTAACAATTTTAATAAAGTGTTCTTATAAGACAAAAGTTTATCAGATCAAATAATAAAATGTCATATTTATTAATTTATCTTGAATATTCCACCTAATGAAGGTGATTTGTCTCGTCTTATACGAGAATGGAGACCCTCGGAAACCCAGTGGTAAAGTTTGGCGTTGGAAAACCGTCAGAAATTCAAAAGGTGAAGTTTTGACCGACAGACTTCAGCAACGGAATTTTGCAGATGTAAGTTTTACCGTAGATTTTCCGACTAAAACGTCTATCAGTAAAATCATTTAGAATCGTAGTGATAGTTAACAGCATTAATAAAGAAAGTAATAATAACATATATCATATCCAAATCTTTTTCTTACATACTACAATATGTTGTTTCGTTTACAACATTCAATTGCATCGTCAAACATTTCTTCAAGCCCGTACTTGAACTGAAATCCCGTTTCCACGAGTTTCCGAGACGAGACATAAGGAATCTTCATCTTCTCGTCATCCCTCAAAAAGCTTTAAACACAATATGATTAATACAGCTTCGTTTTTTGTTTCTTCCACAAAGAAGAATTAAACGAGATTTATAAGAAATAATAATATTAAAACTTACTCAATATCTGGCATCTTATATTCTGGATATCTGACTGATAAAAAACTGTACATTTCCTCAATTGTGAAGTCAATTCTCGAACACAGATACCTTCCTTTTGCGTCTGGGCACTCAAAAAGATGAACGTGTGCCCTAACCACATCATCAACATGTACGCAATCCGTTTTCATAAGCATCTCGTACTGGCTAGTATCACCTGCAAATTATTTTTAACTGTGTGATGTAAACAATTATATATTGAAGTCGTTAGCAATTGATAAACGTAAAAACATATTTACAGACATCGTTAACTCACCAAAGATCATAGACATCAAGATGTACACAGAACCAGGGCAACGAGGGCCGATAAATGGACCATGAATATAAGTTGGAAGGATGGTCACAACATCCAATCCATTTTTCTCGCCGAATTCTAGCATTTCTTTCTCGACCATTGTCTTGGAAATGAAATACGAAGCCCAAAATTCATCAAATTGACTGCGAATAAAATCAATGTTGCTCCAAGATTCCTCATCTAAGACCTCGGTGTACTTCTTCCCATTTACCGAAACAGCAGATGCACTAGACGTTAACACAACTTTCTTTACCGTCTTTGAATCGATGCATGCCTGTAAAATACCCAAACTACCCTTGACCGCTCTTTCAGTTAGCACTTCTTCAGGTTCCTTACATTCAAAATCAATCGGATGTGCAACATGAAATACACCAATGCAACCTTCGATTGGTGCCTTGAAGGTCTCCGGTTTGCTTAGATCCGCATCAAAAATCTTAAGCCTCTCTGATGCCCCCGGTAAGTTTGTAAGGTAGCTCACATCTTTCCTCAAGCATAGCAAATACAATTTTCTTAGACTGTTTGTTTGTATAAAAGACCATCTCAATTAAATTGGGACACCAAATCTTACATCAAATACCAAATTTGACCTAATTCAGTTTAACCGAGACACCAGATTTTGTGTGATGAAAATGAAAAGTAGCACATCAAATTTGGTGTAACACTATTCATTTTTCACTATTTTTTTTATTAACCTGGATATCCAACCCGCTATGCGAGCCGACTAATCCCAGGACGACCACCTGCTTTGCAGATAGCCCGAAGTCACCACATTTGAACCTCCGTGGCCACAAAAAGATTTATTTTTCCTCCTTGGATTTGAACCTGAGACCTCCAGGTACTTCTGACCTTTGGAGCCAAGCTCAAATCAATCAGGCACCACCCTTGAGGTTTATTTTCACTAAATTTTAGACCAATGGAGAAAAGGAATATACCTAGAATATTACGTCTTTTTGTGTAATATTTGGTGGTATCCATTGGAGTAGATTTATTGTTTACACCAAATTTTATACCAATTTTATAAAATTGGTATCAGATTTTATACCTAATTATCCAATCCAATTTAAAGAAAATAGTAAAATATGTAAATAGTAGTAAAGGGTATATTTCAAATACAACCATGTCCATTTGTACAACCAATGCAACCCAATTAATTGAGATATTTATAGAAATGATGAGAGTTTATTTATTATGGTTTGAATATTTATGGAAGATGAATAGGGTTCATTAATTATGATCAATACTTTATATCAGGAAACAATCAAAACTTCTACGAAATCACATATTCATCAAATTAAATAGACGATTGAGATTGAGTTGTATTGGTTGTACAAATGTAAAGGGTTGTATAATAACCAACCTATAGTAGTAAAATATGTTATTTCATTTAATTCAAATAGTAAAAGAAATAATTGAAAATCTGACCAAATAAGTTATCTTTTATTCGATAGGTTAATCAACCTTGTAAGTCGAAAACCGAATAACCCAAAACCGTCTTGCTTCAAATGGGTAATTCGGTTTCTAAACTTGTTAACACCTCTAAGTGTGCCTCCAATTATAAAAGTTTGTAGATCCAGCACCGATTGCATCTACCAGTAATCTGAATAACGTTGAGCAATTACCCCTATATGATTTTGTTAGATTTGGACGAGAAACAAATTGAAATTAAGAGTAATACCTGAATCGATTCTGACAGTGGCGTTTACTGAATATCCATTTTCGAGCAACGTCTTGATCATCCACGACGCTAAGTACCCACGGCCTCCTGTTACGCATACGGTTCCTTTCTCCATTGCTTGCAACTAGATATGTATATATGTATGTATATGTGTATGTATATATATAGTTCCAATTTTGGGTTTGTAAGTGTCATGGTTGACCGAATGGGGAGTAGGTGAAGACAATAATGTATGATATGATCCCAAAGTGATGTCGTTTTTGTGTAATAATTTTGGTAAGACATCCCCTTTTTCCTATAGTCAACAAATACTAAAGTATGTATATACGTATATCTATACTATACTATAAAGAATTTGAGGAAAATTTTTAAAAACCGTTTTTATGCATGAAGTACTGTTTATTGATGTATATTACTTAAAATTCAATATTACAAGTAAATTGTMCATAAGTACAACTTATTAAAGCTCCATGTTTGAATTCGTGTAACTAACTGCGGATAAACATAATCAAATAGAGGATAAACATCTTATTTTAAAATATATTTTTTTTAATATAATTAGGATAATTATTGAGTTCTAACAAAATAATTAATTATTATCTTTATAAAAAATTATATTATTAAATCAAATATAAATTAATTCGTTTTTAAGATTCAATTAATTGGGTGTTTGTGATTGCTTATTTAAAATAACTTATGTTTTTTTTTGTAAAAGTGCTTATTAACTTATGTGGTATTAAACCGGAGTTAAATAAAACAGGGTTAAAATTGTAAACTGGTAATAAGCAGTTTTTCATAAGTCAGGAGAGATTAACTTATCAAAAACAGCTTATTACCGGTTTGACACCGGTATAAACAATTTTTTTCTTATCTAAACACCAGAAAACAACTTATCACCGGTACCAGACTGAAGTAAGTTAAAAAGCTGCTTTTATAAGAAATCCCAAACACCCCATAAATTATAATAAAATTTTGAATCAAAGAAATTACATAAAAACGATAACTTTTAAATAGTTAATTTAATATTAATATCACTTATTTTTTTCAAAAGTTTATGATATCTTCTCAAAAATTTATATTTCATTCAAAAATAAAAACATTTTCTTTTTCTCAGAACCACATAGCATCATAATATTGATAGACCCAAAATATAAAACGAAACGTTAAAATCAAGATGTATCTCGCTGTATTGCACGAGTAACCTTCTAGTACTAGAAATATAGAGAGTAAACTACAATTTTGGTCCCTATGGTTTACATAAAACTCTAATAAACATCCCTAAACTTTAATAAATACATACAATAACGGTTACTACCGTGGTTTAATTTGCATTTTGCTATGCAAATAGTCTTTGACACCAACTCTGTTAAAAATTGTCCGTTAAGTAAAGGGACAATTTAGTCTTTTTACGTTTTTTTATCTTTTCTTCTTGTTTTATTAAATAATTTTCAAAGTACACATGCTTAAAGCATAAAGGTGACTACTGGTTTTCAATTCGGACCATATATTTTTCACAATGTTCATAGTTGAAAACGTCCTACTAACTGCAGTAGCCGTAATAGTTAATATCACTGCTAATTTTATAAGCAAATATCGATAGTCCAGATTCAACGGAAAGATCAGATAATCTAATTTACGTTACGACTTTGTTTACATCTATTATCATTATGTTTATCTGGTATGGATGACGAATCACTGACTGTATTTTTTTATTAAATTCTTATCTATTGTTACTAAATACAGTTATCTATGTCTCACCGTCCCTACACCTCCTATGCCTCCATATCTGATCAACCAATGTCCCCCGCAACAACCATCTCTCATATCTGCCACTTTCTCGATCAACCAAAAACGTTACCGTTGAACTCGGTCAACCAATGTCGTCACCGATCTTATTTTATTTTTTTCCCATCTTATTTTTCGAAAGAGGAAAAACTCCAAATCTTCTTTTTATTTAAAAATTATACCCATAAGATTTGATTTGTATTCAAAATCAAATAATTGTAGGGATAGAAATTGTCATTTGACAAATTATTAGGGGCTGTTTTTTATTTGGTCAAAAGTTGGTGGCGGCTAAGAAGATGGATCTTGGTCAACTCCAACATCAATCCAATTTTTAATTTATGTTTTTTATTTATTTAATCCCCCTTCTCATTTTCTTTGGGGTTTTCTAACCCCACCCCCTCCTAAACGAATTATCCACCCCCTCTTATACTAAAGGACAAAAAACAAGTAAATGACAAATCTAAAATATTTTTATTTTTAATCTTTTTATATTTTCATTTTTAATCCTTTAACCTTTTTTATTTTTTAACTTTTAACCCTTTAGTTTTTTAACATGTTTTAYAATTACATCTTTTATGTTTTTAATTTGTRTTATRATTATATAAATAAATTAATTTTATATTATTATTAATTAATAAAATATTAATAATATATATTTCAAATATAAATTAAATTTATTAATTAATAAAATTTGAAGACATTTTTTTGGTTATCTATTTGTATACAAATGTATTACGATAAATTATAATATATTAAAAACTTTGATATTTCATGTTAAATCAACATATTCACGAGTAAGAGTACGCTCTATATATTCTTCATATGCATTGAATCTATGTTGATACGGGACAATCCATGTACTTGCATCTTCAAAACGATAACGTGTCCAATGGTGCGTAAGTGTGGGCATTGGATATTCTCCATTTAATACCACCTTTATGTAATGGTTACCATTAACATGCACTATTGCAATTGCCACGTGTTGAGATGACGACGGAGGTTGTGTCCTGAACGGTAAGTATGTCACACTGTCTGCCATATTGAGAACATGCAGTATGACATTGAACCTTGAAGCCGTTAGAATGCCCATTTCAGGCATAACAATCCAATGCGCAGCTGGTGCGAAGATGCCCTTTTGGAAAAAATTTAGCGCTTCGTGAATGCGTAAGCACTCATTGCCAATCACATAAGAATAATATTGTCCATACTCAGTTAGTTCAATCATTAACTCTTTGCGGATATTGTCCCATTCGTCTTCATGACCACCCAGACAAGTAGATATCGCTCGAAATCCACAATTTCCATCGCCTAATACATCTTGTATTTGTATGATGTATGGATGAAATAAACTCGGGATTTGATCAAGATACGGATGTCGGGTGGTGGGTTGTCGTTGGAAATAGGAACTATGTCTCGCTGATTCTTGATGCCCCAAATCTTTAGAGTTAATAATTGATGGCATGTTAGAACAACTACGTCTACGGTCTTCAATAATTCTTTTAATAATTAATTCTTCAATAATTCTTTAGAGTTAATAACTTTACTTTATTTCAAATCAAATTATTTTTACAATTATGTAAACAGGTACACATGTTAAAACGTATTTTCCTAACATATTTTGTACTTAATGTCGATATTATTGTTCATAATGTAACATGTTACTGAATGTATATGAGATATAATTTAATGTGACATGTTAAAACGTATTTTAGTTAATATAAAATTATGTATGTTAATGTGATAATGATGTAAAACAAAAATTAAAAAAACAAATGATATCATAAATTAAATAAATAACTATAAATTTAAATATTAAAAATAATTTTTCATAGGGGTATAATATATAATAATATAATTAAGTCAAAAAATATTCAATATTGGGCTTATTTCGAAGGTATTGATGCGACGATTATAATGGTGTAACTTGTTAAAATTAAAATGTATTTTTTAAACATATTTTAATTGATATATGATTATATATGTTAATTTGATCAGGGTATAAAATGAAAAATTTAAAAGAAAATGACGTAAAGTAAATTAATTAACTAATTATAGGGGTATAAAATATAAATTTAAAATTTTAAAGTTGAAAAAAAGTGAATCGGTGTGAGTCTGTGAGGGGAGATGGTGTGAGGGGAGACGGTGTGAGAGGAGTGGTGTGTGAGAGAAGGAACACATGACAGGGGGTAGAAAGTCTTGCAGGGGGTGGCAATATCAACCCCGTTGAAAAATGAGAGTTATCACTATTCATGTCCTTTCCTCACTCATATATCACCTTTTTCTTACCACCTACCTCACTAACACACTCCTATAAGAAGGGTATGAACATTAATAATATGTTAAAAACAAAAATGAGTTAAACCAAAAATGATTAACAATCTGAAACTAAACCTAAACCATTAATAATTTAAATATAAAACCAAACAATTAATGGTTTGAACCTAAATAATTGCGGCTATAGTTTTACACAGGTCGATAAAGTAGCTAATTTCGTTAGCGTATCTGTAAGATAAAGGGTGAAATGTTAAACCGAATGAAAGTAGACGTTGTTTCGCAATAACAATGTTCCACTATTTCATTCAAGTTTTATAAAAACCAATTACACTTCTTGACGAGTTGATCACTTTGAAAGTGTTAAAGTGTCATGGTCTTAGAGATAAACCATTGAATGCACATCAGCTTGAATGATATGAGATGTATACTTGAGAAAGTTATCGACAAGAAGACTTGTCATTTATGTCTTTCAAACTTAACTCCCGACAGGTTGGTCACTCTTTAAAAATGTCAAAGTGCGATAGATTCAGAGATGAACTATCTAGAACACACGCCAACTTGAATGATATGATAATTGACTCGAGAGAGTGATTTTTAACAAAGAGATTTGTTTATCCATATATTTTGAAGACACCATTTTGTTACTATCCTTGGTCTGGATACCATATAGAGATATGAGTTGAAAGCTATAATATAGTGCAAAGGTGAAGTCCGAGAGGAATACCTTCAAAATAGATGGTGAAACTAGTTTTGCCTATAACATTGTCTTACACCTATGCTACCCTTTTATATTATGTTATTTTATCATTGTTAACTCAAAGCCAATCAAAGTCTTCAAATTCACCATCTGAAGTTAGTCTTTCAACTTGAGATCTTGCAACTTAAGATACCTATCTCTGTGGAATACGATACTTGGTTCTTACCATTTTATTACTTGAATGCGATAGTGTTGACACGTGTATACTTACATGTGTTACCACTTAGTGTTGTATTGATACAATATCTAGATCCCATCAATATACAACATTCTTGATTCTTGAAATCAATGCAAATACTTATCAAATATGATTTTCTTGTTACGATGCTTAAAAATCTAATTCATGTTTTAATGAAAAAGAGTAAATTTCATAAATTGTCTCTAGTTTTATGAAAACTCCAGTTTTCGACCATAAATTTTTGAAATTACGAGGACCATCATCAAGATTTTGATTCCATTACGGTTTTGGCCCTAGTCTCCCATTACTCTATGCCATTAAATGTCCCACCTGTAAGTCATTTAAGGAATATTTTGGTCTTTTCGAATGGGAGTTTATAAAAACATATGTACAAACTATTTATAAAAAAACCTAGTTAGTGACTACAACCCTGCACCACCTACTCCCCATTTCTTCTTCCACCACTCTCTCCTCTGTTCTCGTTTACAAACTACATTATTTGTTGTTATATTCTTAATTTTGAATGACGTACTCTATATGTTGTTAATGTTGACGGGAGTTATATTATGCTTTAGCATATGCTTACATTTTGACTGTGTGGGTTTTTAAGTTGAAATGTGTAGATGATTCATGTTCTTGTTCTTGATTTTGTGGGTTTAGGTTCAAAAGGTTACTTGTGATGTTCATCGTCTTTGTACATGTTCTTCATCTTCATCTTGAATGCCTGAAAATCCTGATGATGGAACAAAGAAGAAAGATGATGAGGAAACTGTCCAAAATGTCAAGCATGTGACTTGCATAAGAGGGTACTGAATAGCATCAAAGAGCAGCACCAAAACTGTAATGAAACCAAAACCTTGATAGTAGTTCTTGTAATTTCGGGAAGTTTGGATGAAAACAAGAGTTTCCATAAATCCCAAGGACGATTTTTGTAATTATTTACTCATAACAGATAAAATCACAGTTTAGGCTGCTCCCCTTTCTCTTGCTGCTACTACGGGAATCACTTCTTCTTATATAGCTTGTAAAAGCATTTTATCCATGTGTGTATACATTAGCTTTTAGCACGACATGTTTTCATACATGCTTTCGACTTTTTGTATAGGGTTAATTCCGCATAATAACCAACTTTCAACCAATTTCTAATTTATTCATCTATTTCAAAGCAATTACTGAATGCTTAAAACTTTTACATTTATTTTGAATAATCAACTAATTATATTACCGAATTGTCGTTAACCCAAAAAAATGCATTAAAAACGCATCTTAAATATGATATTTATCTTCATATTCTAACTAAACACCAACCATTAAAACCCCGTAAATCAAAAGCTATAAACAAAAAAAATGGTACCAAAGGGCCTTTGGCCTAGCGGTATGTGAGCCATTGGCCTTCTAGGAGGTCAAGGGTTCAAACCTCGTATTAGGCGAAGAGGGTGTGTGAGTTTTATTTGTTATATTTGCTGTATATTATATACTTCAAAAAAAACAAAAAATTGGTACATTTAGAAATTAATATCATTTTAACAGGAATGTAAAGAGGGTTTTGAAATCGAAATTTTGAATGAAATTGAAAACTTCCAAGAAAATCGAAAATGAAAACGAAATCGAAATCGAAATTAAAATCAAAATCAAAATCAAAATAAAAAATGAACCTCGGAAACTTCAAAAGAAATATGGAACGAAATCGAAAAGGAAAATGAAATCGAGTTCCTCAATCTAGGAAGGAGATGCAATGGTGATTCGAGTTTTTGAATCGAGTTCTTGAATTGAAAACGAACACGAAATCAGAAAACGAAAACAAAATTAAAAAACAAAATTGAGTTCTTGAATCTGGGAAGGAGATGCAGTTCTTGAATAAAAAATGAAAACGAAAATCAAAAAGCGAAATGTAAGATGGGATCTAGAAGGAGGCGTACACAATAAAGGAGACGTGAAGGGGTAGGATTGTCTTTTTTTGGCTGAACATGGACAAAAGCCTTTTCCCATCCGTGCGAATAAACCATTTATGTGTGAATAATCCCTAATTGACTGAACGAATAAGCCCATTAACCAATTAAGCTCAATAAGTGATAAATAAACAGCCCCTAAGAGTTTTACGACTTTGATAATTAATTGTTTCATCATCTGCTATTTTAAATTAAAAAACTTAAAAAGTAAGCAGTCTTATTAGCCATTTTATATAAAAACATCATATAAAAAGGTTCTAAGGATCCGTACCCTTTTCTTAATACTTAATACGCATATTATATGACGTGTACGAATCTACAATATCTTGTTTCGTTTGCAACAGTTAATTGCATCATCAAACATTTCCTTAAGCCCGTACTGGAACCGGAATCCCGTCCCCAAAAGTTTACTTGACGAGACACTTGGAAGTTTCATTGTCTCAGCATCCTTCAAAAACCTGTAAACCCATCGTTTTGAAAGTTGAGTCACTACAACAAAATTGGGTTTATAGGACACCCCCAATCTTTAAGCGTCCCAACAGACCGTTTTATAGGACTTAATTTATAGAACCAAAAAATTATAAAACGTCATATCTAAAAACGTTGTAATTAGTTTATATGACGTTTTTTGACCTATTAACAAGTTTTTTAGAATATTTTTAATACAAAGCGTCGCATTAGCAAATTTATAAGACGCTTTTGAGAAAGTGTCTTATAAACTCAATTTTTTATAGAACACTTGTTTTTATAGGACAGTTTTTCAAATAGTATCCTATAAAGTTGCTAATGCGACGCTTTATATTAACAATATCCTAAAAAAATTTGTTAAGACGTCCAAAAACGTCATTTAAACTTATTACAACGTCTTTAGATATGACATTTTATATTTTGGTCCTATAAAGAGGTCTATTAAGACACTTAGAAATTGGAAGCGTCCTATAAACCCGATTTTGTTGTATATGTTTCTTCCATCAAAGAAGAATAAAATGGGATTTATAAGAAATGATAATATTAAAACTTACTCGATATTTGGCATCTTATATTCCGGATATCTGGATGATAAAAATTTGTACAGTTCCTCGATTGTGTAGCCAATTTTCGAACAAATATACCTTCCGTTCGCGTTTCGGAACTCAAAAAGATGAATGTGTGCCCGAGCCACGTCATCAACGTGCACGAAATCCGTTTTCGTAAGCATTTTGTACTTGCTCGTATCGCCTGCAAATAATTATAGATTGAAGTCGTTAGCAACAATCGATAATCATAAAAAGCGTTCCGAAACAAGATTAACTACTCACCAAAGATCATAGCCATCGAGACGTACACGGAATCAGGGCAACGAGGGCCGATAAACGGACCAAGAACATAAGTTGGAACGACGGTCACAACATCCAATCCATTTTTCTCACCGAATTCTAACATTTCTTTCTCGACCATTGTCTTGGAAATGAAATACGAAGCCCCAAATTCCTTAAAATGACTACGGATAAAATCAACGTCGCTCCAAGATTCCTCATCTAAGACCTCGGTGTGCTTTTTCCCATTCATCACAACTGCAGATGCACTAGATGTGTACACAACTTTCTTTACCGTCTTTGAATCGATGCACGCATGTAAAATGCCCAAACTACCCTTGACCACTCTTTCGGTTATCACTTCTTCAGGCTCCTTACCTTCAAAATCGATCGGATGTGCAACGTGAAATACACCAATGCAACCTTTGATCGGTTCCTTGAAGGTCTCGGGTTTGCTTAGATCCGCATCGAAAATTTTAAGCCTCTCTGATGCCCCCGGTAAGTTTGTAAGGTAGCTCACATCTTTCATCGTGCCTAGTGGCAAACCACAACTTTTTTTAAGATTGAACTATTAGCCCCCACGGAGGTTGGATCTACCAGTAACCCGAATACACCGTGGGGGCAATTACACTTTTATAATTTTGTTAGATTTCAAAAGGAAATTGAGAATAAAACCTGAATCGGTTCGAACAGTGGCGTTTACAGAATATCCGTCTTCGAGCAAGGTCTTGATCAGCCATGACGCTAAGTACCCTCGGCCTCCCGTTACACAGACAAGTCCTTTCTCCATCGCTTGTTGCTCGATATATGTGTGTGTATATATATATATACATATATATATATTGGGTTAATAAGTTGTATATATGGTTTGGTGGAATGAGTAGTAGGTGAAGATGTGATGATGTTTATGTGATGCCAAACAAATCCGTCTGAAGACACGTCGTTTCATGTTATATTTTTGGGGTTTTCTAACCCCATCCCCTCCTAAAGGAATTATCCACCCCCTATACTAAAGGACAAAAAAAATGTAAATGACAAATCTAAAATATTTCATTTTTTATTTTTTTATGTTTTCATTTTTAATTCTTTAATCTTTTTTATTTTTTAACTTTTAACCCTTTAGTTTTTTAACATGTTTTACAATTACATCTTTTATGTTTTTAATTTGTGTTATAATTATATAAATAAATTAATTTTA